ACAAACTGTGGGGGGAATTTATCAAAGCAATTGTGACTGTTTTAGCCTCTTGGATCATTTTTTTAAATGTGAAAATCTTTTGAGTCGCTCCTTTTACCATGTGTGCCTGTTTTGACCAGAGCTTGCACTATTTTTCCGACTGCGCCTGTTTTGCGAAAGTCGCAACTGTTTGCATCTGTGCTTGTCCTGCGGCTGAAACTGGAGCATCACCTAACAAAACAATCGCTACTTAAAAAGTCCCCATGACCACAGTTAAGCTTCATTTAATCTCATTTTTGAACAACACTAGCACTAACACTAGCTTTATAAATCTGGCGCAAATATATCCCATGTGACCATATGCAAGTTCAAACACTCACAATTGCTATGATAAATTCCCCCCACTGTGTGGCTTCCCCCTCACCGGTTGGATGCCCCACCGAGCTCTTGCTAATCAGTGACATTAGTGAGACAGAGTATTGGTCTGTCATCCACAACACCTCCTCAGTAAGAGCAACCGAACACCCCCCGAATGACAAACCAGGGAGAGTACCACCCCCACCCTCAAGCAGTGGGTGGGGGTGGTACCAAGTCTCTATGGTTGCCACATTTCAGCAGAGGACCTTTATACTTCCATGCTTAAAGCAGACTTTCACACTCAAAAAACTAATTCTACCAATGCATCCCTCTATGTATGATGATTATCCACCTTCCGTCCATGGCCTTTTGTGAACGGCCGGACAGGAGTCTGCTAGGAGCGGGAGGGCGTCTTAAAACTGAAAACTGTGAGGATGTAAACAGCCAGCGATGGCTGTTTACATACAAGCGATCAGGCGTCTCTAGAGACGCCCGATCGGTTGCAGGAGCCGCGGGTGTGCGCCGTCTCCTCGCCGCCGGTCCCGTAATCCGCTGTGGCCGGTGCGGCTTGGACCGGCACGGCGACGCTCTAACAGCAGATCAGAGGTAGATCATTACTAGATCTCCCTTTGATCTCTTTTCCTGTCCTCGAATGCAGGAAGTGATGTATATTACATCACTTCCTGCATTCAGTATCACTCTCCAGTGCAGAACACCGGAGAGAAGCTGATGAAGCAGATCAGCTTCTCTGGGGGTCCCTAGGTGACATCAGAGGTCTTGGAGACCCCTGATGTCTCCATAAAGAGGACCTGTTTGGTGAACTGGCTATTACATAGGGGATTTCTTAGTCCCCTATGTGATAGCAATAAAGTTAAGTCTAAAAAAAAATAAAAAATTAAAGCATTAAAAAAAATAAAGCTAAAAACAGGGAGCAGAGAGAATCTGGAGCAATCAGTTTCTCTCTTCAGTTTGTTCAATTAAGATTTGAAAATGAGAGAAGCTGATTGGTTGCCATAAACAGCTGCTCCAGATTTTCTCTGCTTCGGTTTTGATAAATTCCCCTCTATGTCTGTAACACTGCATATGTGTATTTTAAATAAAAGATGTTTTTTTTTTTTTTATCCAATTAATTAAAAAAATAATCGGCCAAATAATCGGTTATGAAAATAATCATTGGCTGCAGCCCCGGATGAGTGTGCACCAGTGTGCAGCTACAGTCATTGATTTGTACCAAGGCCCAGGGCTACAAATAGATCTGCATGGGGGCCCCTATGCGCCCATGTGAATGAGCTCTAATATTATCCCGCGCCATCTTGTTTGTGTTTTGAAAAGAAATGAATTGTTTTTTAGAGAAGTTTGTTAGTTTATGAAGTGATGTTGTACAAGTCTGGTAAGCACTGTATTCTCTCCAATATACCCAGCCCTCCCCCTAGACTCCTTGTGGGCTCACACGCCCCCTCTGTATACATTTCATGAGCAAGACCACATCCCATCCTCTCTCTGTACACTACATGGAGCCGGCTGAAGGACCTGCCATGACGTCATCATCATGTGACCAGTCTCCCGTGTGGGACGGGACATGTGTGCATTCCATGTTGCTGCTTCTAGAGTTCTATGGAGACAAGTAAGCTTGTGTGCACCTACACAGCGCCGGGATCGGCGTCTTCTGCGCGGTGTGCAGCATGTCTGATGTGAATGTAATTTATAAGTTGCCTCTTTCTAATTCATTTTCAACCTGTGGGACGTCAGTTGGCACTACATGTCCCATAATGCCTCGCCACATGTTGAATCACGTGGTTCCTAAACGCTTAGAGAGCTGTGGCAGCTGAGTGCCGAGTGAAGTGTACCTGGTGAAGTGTTTGCACGAATGGGATGCTTGCACCAAGTGTGTTGTGTGCTCGGGCAGCACCTAGTGGAAATTGGAAAGTTTTCCTCTGCACCCTCCGACTCGTCTGCTGACACTTGACCCTTTCATTGCCTGAATCCCAAAACATAACTAACCCCTAAACTTACATATGACCTCACACCAACACTAAGAAGTCCAGCTTATTCATGCAGTGAACCTGTATGTACATTCATTCTGTGCGCTCTAGGCCTCATTCACACTATGCGTGTGGGATTTCCCGTCTTCGCCGCACGCTCCCTTCCGAGAATCCGAAACTGCTCGGGCGGCCGCAAAGCATCTTGGGGCGGGCGCATGCGCAGTTCGGATTTTCGGCCAGGAGACGAGCAGAGACGCAAGGTAAATCTATGGACGCGTGCACCCGCATGGGACAGGAAGTACCAGCAAGCACAGAGGAGTCAGCGCTGGATCGGAGAGCCGCCGCACCGCTGGAGGGACAGATGAAAACATCAGGAAAGAAGAGGAAGATCGGATTAAGAAACATCATTTAAGGTAAGTGCTGACATTAACATTGGGGGGAGGACAACATTTTTTTGCCTTTAATGTCACTTTAAGTAGAAGTTGGGAGAGGGGACATCCCATCAAGTGAACCCGGGGTCTGAAGCTGTTTTCTAATCAAAAATTCAGATTTATATCGTGTGTGCGAATAGTAAGAAATTGCTCCGGACAGCAAGTGGTTAAAAGCCTAACAGCCTGGCAAGAGAAGCCGGGGCAAGGTAATCGCCAATAGAAGTTGTTATAAGATAAGCTATAAGCACATTATTTTCAATCAGTTGGCCAACTTTTAGACCTACATTCTGAGAAGGAGTAGTAATGCACCAATGTGTAGCACTGCAAGCAGGAAGCAGAGACTGCATATGTAATGGACAAAAACGATGGTTGCCCAGTGTATATATGTATTATGAATTGATATGATATTTACAAGACAATCTTTTCTTACATATACATCTAGCATGGTAGTGGCTTCTTAGAACAGATAGTATTTACATGCTGGTTTCACCAAACCTGGAGTGCCAAGGTTGTCTACCCCTGTTTTAGGTTATACTTTGTGATTGGTTCCCAAGCACTGCTCCATAAAAGTCATTACTTCTGTGTACTTACACTAATGATGGCCAACAAACCTGAAACAGCTGTATGCAGTTTGGATTACATGGCCCTCTAATATTAGGCCGTGCTGTAGAACTGTGGCTCCTGATGTACAGTTACCCAGTGGGTTAAAAAAAAAAGGAAAGATTTGCATGGCTCAGCCCACTATTGAGAAATGTGGTCCGAACACGGATCGATCGCGGATCTGTGCTGGGCTATTGTTTGCAGTGGATGCACCAGCCTTGCATCCACTCTCAGCCAGTTATAACGGAGCTTAGGTCAGCGGGCCTGATAGCAGCAGACCAAGGGTCGTATAGGCCCCACGGGCCGTAAAAGGCCCAGGTCTGCTTTAGTCCCTCCTTACCATAACCTTGTAAGTTATACTTACACATTCTGTACATCTAAAAAGCATTGAAAAATCTATACATTCCATTTAACATAATATTCAGCACAATATGAAGTGATAAGTTTGGCATTTATGTAGTCCCTTTATGATTAAAGGAGAACTATGGGGTTAGGGCTTTTCCCCATAGTTCTCCTTAGGGTAACGGGAGGACACAAACTAGCGCCCTCCCGTCGCCCTAGGCTTAGTATACCGCAAACTCTAGCTCGCAGTATACTGAGATGCTGAAGCGGAGCCCGACAATTCTGCCGGGATCCGCCCAGCTGCGTGACTGACAGCTGGCTCTGCCTATCTAGAGGCAGAGCCAGCTGTACCCGCCCCCTCCCCCGTCCGTTCCGCCAGTCAGCGCTGGCGGATCGGAGCTGGGAGGGGGGAATCCAGCCCCTCCCCTGTCACGGCAGAGAGCCGTGACAGGATCGAGAGGTGAGCGAACGCCGGTATGTGTTCGCTCACCTCCCGATCTACTGAGCCGACCTGTGACAGTCTCATTGTCACAGGTCGGCTAGAACTATGAGGTGAGTGAAAAGCACTCACCTCATAGTTCTCCTTCAAGCCAAGGTGGTGAAATGCGTTGGAGTGGGAGAGATACTATGGTGGTGTATATCTTGTTTTTTGAACTTTGCATGGAATTTACAACAAAGTTGGATTTTTATGGACCTCGGTTTTGTGCGGCTGATTGGAGAGATATTGTTTGGCATTTATGTCAAGTTTGAAAACAACATAGTATAATATGGAATTCTTTATAATTATGTTCTTGTTTTGTTTTTTTATCTACTAGATCTATTTACAATGTTACGCCGCCTGAATGATGACAGTCACTGTTGCTAGGCTGTTTTTTGGATATCTCAATGTGGTATTTCTACAGAATGAACATATCTGCAGTATTTAATGCTTTGCTTGTATCCATCCTGGCAGCAGTGTTGTGGAAACATGTCAAGCTTTGGGAGCAGTTCTCTATTATTGAGGAGGAGTTGGACCTCACCCGTCAGTCCCAGGAGCTGTCACAAGTACGCATTGACTATCAGGCAGCTTTATACGCACTTGTGGAAGATGGCACTAAAATGGTTTGTACGGGCAGGATGCATACAGACCGGGTGTGCCGCTTCGAGTCACTTTGTTTCTCCACCGAAGCTGAAGAGTTTGTCTTTTTTCACAGCAACTCCTCAATTATGCTACCCAACCTAGGAGCGAGACGCTTCCAACCTGCTCTGTTAGACTTGTCTTCTGTAGATGATCACAACACCCAATATTTCAACTTTGTAGAGCTTCCGGCTGCTGCGTTAAAATTTATGCCCAAGCCTGTCTTTGTGCCAGATGTTGCTCTCATAATGAATAGGTTTAACCCAGACAACCTGATGCACGTCTTTCATGATGACCTGCTACCAATATTCTACACCATGCAGCAATTTCCAGACTTAGACCTGGACTCTCGTCTCTTTTTCATGGAAGGGTGGGGCGAAGGCTCACACTTTGACCTCTACAAGTTTATGAGCAACAAACAGCCTTTGCTGAAAGAGCAGTTGAAAACTTTAGGTAGGCTTCTCTGCTTTACTAAGGCATACGTGGGACTCACGAAAATCACAACATGGTACCAGTATGGCTTTGTCCAACCTCAAGGTCCAAAGGCAAACATATTGGTCTCTGGCAACGAAATAAGACACTTTGCAAAATTCATGTTGGGAAAGCTAAACATCAGTTCTGATCAGCCTACAACAGAAGACTACATAGTACTGTTCACTCGATCGATAAATAGACTTATTATAAATGAGGCGGAATTACTCCTTGCTTTAGCTCAGGAATTTCAGATGAGGACAATCACAGTCTCTCTAGAAGATAATTCATTTGCTGAAATTGTGCGTCTGATCAGTAATGCATCTATGCTCGTGAGTATGCATGGAGCACAGTTGGCTATGTCCCTTTTTCTGCCAAGGGGTGCAGCTGTAGTTGAGCTTTTTCCCTATGCCATAAACCCAGATCATTACACACCATACAAAACTCTAGCAACCCTTCCAGGCATGGAGCTCCAGTATGTTGCTTGGCAGAACACAGAGGAGAAAAATACCATCACTTATCCTGATAGGTCTTGGGAACAAGGTGGCATTGCACATCTAGGTATTGTTGAACAGGGCCGAATAACGAAGAGTAAAGAAGTTCCACGTCACCTCTGTTGTCGTAATCCAGAGTGGCTTTTCCGTATCTACCAGGACACAAAAGTAGATGTTCTATCACTCATCAAAGTCATAAGAGGTGTTGTTAAAACAAAGCCCGGCTCTCGGAAGCAGAGGTTTGCAAACGGATTGTATCCTGGGAAGGTAAGGGAATGCAAATGCCAGGCTTCTTCATCAGGTGCCAGTGTGACCAAGCTGTCCGTGACTTGGCAGATTCCATGGAATCTCAAGTACTTGAAAGTCAGAGATGTTAAATATGAAGTATGGATCCAAGAGCAAGGTGAAAACACGTACATGCCTTATATATTATCTTATCAGAACCACACGTTCTCAGAGAACATTAAAGCATCTACAACATATTTAGTGTGGATCCGCTGCATCTTCAATAAGACTCTTCATGGACCTTTTGCAGAGGTTTTAGTGTGTAAAACATAACAAGACACATTTTTGGCTGTATATACACTTTGAGAAATGATGAGGTTTAACCTTCTGTGTATTTGTCACTCTTTATTTCATGGTCCATACATCCAGTGCACTGGTAAATATGACTTTTATACCCAATGGTAAAAAGCTGGACTTGCATAGTAAATGTTGAATATTTATAAGGACCCCCACGCTATGGCTTTTGTTTAAAGTAACACTAAACACAGGAGTTAAATCTTAAAAATGCATTCAAGTACTGTAATTATTAACTAAATTGTACCTTATTTGTGTGTCACTCGGCTGTAGATCCTCAAATCTTCTCTGAATTCATGCCGACACTGTCCTTCCTTCTGGAGGGTGACTACTTTTGTTCCTCATGGTCCCTGTGTGTGTTGTAAAGTAGTCGCCGCTCCAAGCTCGCTCCCATTATGGACTACAATCTCAGGTTTAGGTAGCTAATTTGTATGGTGATTATAGTCTATCACAGGAGCGAGCTTGAAGCGGTGCCTACTTTACAAGACACAGGGACCATGGGGAACAAAAGTAAAAGTCTCACCCTCCAGAAGGAAGGGCAGTGTCTGCACCAATTCAGAGATGATTTGAGGATCAACAGCTGCGTGATACACAAATAAGATACAGTTTTGTTAATTGGTAAGGTCCTTGAATGTATTTTTAAGATTTAACTCCTGAGTTTAGGGTCACGTTATTAAAAGCCATTACCTATTGTGCTAAATGCTGTAATTCTAAGCAAGCAATCAGACAATCTTTCATTTTTCTGAGTATTATAAACCCCTGAAAGCTGAAATGGGGTTGCTTTCTGCAACTGAACAGTATTACATTTTACAATGAACTGGTTACCATTTAAAGCAGTGGTCCCCAACCCCCGGGCCCGCGGACCGGTACCGGTCCGTGGATCAAATGGTACCGGGCCGCCCAAGGAACATTAAATTATTTCCATTTTATTTACTGTGGTGTATTTCTCTCGTGTTTGTCCGACTTTCCAGGACGAGAGGTTAACCGGGAGCTGAGAGACGTCACCTAAAGCTGCACCAATACCGCGCATGTGCAAAATATTGTGATATCGGGACGGTTTTAGGTGACGTCTGGAGCTGAGCGGCTTTGGTAAAGAGAAGGTGTGTATCGCTCTTCTCTCTGTTCAGCGGAACTTTCTCATGTTTAACAGTGCTTGGTGTACGTGTATATTGTGTTTGCTCAAATTTAACCCACAAATTAGCAACAATGAGTACGAAACAGACGTCGTTAGAAAGTTTCCTTGGGAAAAAGAAAAGGCCCAGTGAAGAGACAGAAGAAGGGCCTTCAACATCAAAGAAACATGTCACTTTTAACAGACAATACCAGGTGATTCCAATCTAAAATATAAACAATCAACGTCCCCCCCTCAGCGGGCCGCGGTAAAATTATCAAACGTTGACCGGTCCGCGTCGATAAAAAGGTTGGGGAGCACTGATTTAAAGCACCTTTGTCCTGAAACAAGTGTGCTAAATGAGTGTACTGCAAAATAAGAGAAGGAATACTGAATATTACTGAATACGTTCTGAAGTCCACAGGAACATTGACATCTCCAGAAGTGCCAATCTCATAGGTCCCTTGCAGCTTATCACTGGTTTATCTTGTTGACCTCGACTTATAACAGCATACAGCAGTGACATGGAGGTCAGCAGGAGGAGCCAGTGAGAACTTTGGGGAACCTGCGAGATCGACCCCCTCAGAGTGTCAATATCCCTGCAAACTTCAAAGGATTTCTACCAAACAGAGCAGCAACCTGGTATCAAAGGCAGCGGGAAAGGATGGTATTTCCTCCCTTATTTTGAAGGTACATTGTTTAGGATGCTTTTATTTCATGGCAGGGTCACTTTAAAGATTCTTTCTGGTGTCAGTCTGTTCCTGACAAAATCCAAATCTACTAAAAGGGCAAAAAGTGAATTGCTTAAAAGTATATTTGTGTGTTTGTATTATCGACCTACTGTTTTTTTTATTTATGTAAATGAAAGCTCAGATGCCTGATTTCAATTCCATAGTGACAGACACAGCTACAGCTCCCTGTATACTGAGATGCCGCAGCTGAAGTGGATCCCGACAATTATGTCTGGGTCCGCCCAGCTGCGTGAGTGACAGCTGGCTCTGCCTATCTAGAGGCAGAGCCAGCTGTACCCGCCCCCTCCCCCGTCCGTTCCGCCAGTCAGCGCTATCGGAGCGGGAAGGGAGGAATCCAGCCCCTCCCCCGTCACGGTAGAGAGCTGTGACAGGATCGAGAAGTGAGCGAACGCCGGTATGTGTTCGCTCACTTCCTGATCTACTGAGCCGACCTGTGACAGTCTCATTGTCACAGGTCGGCTAGAACTTTGAGGTGAGTGAAAAGCACTCGCCTCATAGATCTCCTTTAAATTCAATAAGTGAACGACAGCTCGTATGCCTGGTTTAAATTCCATAAGTGAAAAACAGCTCCGAGGGCTGGTTTAAATTCATTTTAGTCCTATTTATAATAATAAATGTTGCATTTGGACACTGACAACAATAAAAGGGATAAGTGCTTGATGTAAATTGTGTATATACATCAATAAATTATTTATGACGATGTTTTGATATAGATTGTGTAGAGTGTATGTGGCTAATGCAAAGTTTTGCTGTATGCTAAGTTATTATAGAACAGGTTAATGAACATGTTTTGCATCTATTTAAATAATATTTTTCTTGGTTACAGTAATCTTAAATGGTATAAACTATTTTCTATATTATAACTAGATAAGACTTTTTATTGCAAGTGTCGTTCTCGTGTTCAGGTTTATAAAAGTTAGTTTCATATGCTGCTCTGCGCATTAGAACAACTAATATAGATTTTTATTATAAATTATAATTGATATATCTGGCC